CTTTCTTCCTCCAGATTTAACACAGACATGTAGCATCCTTACATTATACACTAACATGTAAGATTTTATTATTTTAATATTTTGCATTTTTGCCTTTGGGAATTTAAAAGATCTAATTGCCACATTATAACCTAATCATCTGCAACAATGAAATTAGTAATCTCACTGTTTTATTCTTTTTTCTACTTATTCTATTTTTTAAAACAGTCAGTAAATCTAGAAGGGCAAATCGGTTACACACCTAAAAATTTATGAAAATTATGCAGATAGCTTCCTAAATTAATACATTAGTGTGAATTTTAGTTTAACAATAATTGGTAGTTAACCAGGTACCTATTAGTATCTGAGAGAGAAAGTGCAGGAAACATTACAGGGACAGATCGGAGGTAGGCACTGAAAAAAAGGGGAGGATGCACAAAAGTGAAGGAGAGGGGAGATCCAGGGAGCCATAGTTCTTAAACATAGCCACTAATCCTGGACTGGACTATATTTGGCTTTAGTTTGGCAAGGACAAAGAGGAGCCATACTCAGAAGTAGTTGTATTACTGAGTTGGATTTCACAAAGAGCTCTGCTTTCCAAGATTTCGGAAGAATTTCGGAAGAAAAAAAATTGACAAGTTTTATTTTCAAGAGAATGGATTAGTAACTTGGAATATCAGGTGGCCTATCATTTATCTTGCTTTTTATTATTATTTCCTGATACTGACATGATTTAAACTTAGGCACATTTTATTTTGTCTGTTCCTGTTCCCTTTTATCTTCACATTTATTTCAAGCCTTTATCCCCGCCCCCCACCACCAGTAAAACTATTTATGTGGGCTACTTATTTACCTTTTTTTTGTTTTCCATTGGAGATACCACATTGACATAAAACAGTGATTTTTAAAACACGTATATAGTACTGTTACATAAAAATAAGAATTCTTTTCCATTTGTTTGCCTACTGATTGATTCTGCCTATTTTCTTTTTATCTATTTTCACTTTTAGGTATATTGATTTTTTGTTTAGTTATATTTCGTATGTTTTAGTTTATTAAATTACACAAATCCGATAAGTAGATGCCAATTAAAACTTTAAATTGACAATCCCAGTTCTCTTCAGTCTCTGTAAAACATTAGAAATTTACAGCTCTTTTACAATATAGGTTTTATTGTTTTTAGTGCAAAAACTAGGCTTGGGTATGAAATGTTTTCGACATAAAAAGTTTCAGAAATAGAAATGCTTCATCTATGTAGATTACGATGATACTATATCAGCCCATAAATGCTTTTCAGCCTTTCAATTCAGATAGTATTTTTTTTTTTCAAATAGTATTTTTTGAAATTGAATCTCAAGTGATGTGTGAGGCTTTGGGCAGATGTTGTTCTATGTACTAGATTATGTGGAAAAAAATATAAACACATAGTTATGAATTTATGAGGACAAAATACTTTTAATAGTAGGTTTTGGATTTCTTAAGTGTGATTCGTTATACTATTTCCAGGTGAAGCCTTCGTTTGCAGTTATAATGGTGCTGATTTTGGATGAAGATGGTTCATTCAAAAAGTACAATGTAAAATTCATCTTTCTAGGAGCATCTAATGTGTAAAATTGGACAGATTGAATTTAATAGGAACAACAAATAATATTAATTTTAAAATATGTTGTACCTAAATGCACTGTCTTTTAAAAGAAGCATATGCCTTTTATGATACCCTCCCACCCCCCCCTTTTATTTGCAGCCACTATGCTCTTCTCAGCTCTGGAAAACTGAATTATAAATTGCCAAAGAATAAGCAACTAAAATTCTCCTTTCTAACAGTGCACTTTGCTAAAGCATTTGTATAAGAACACCTAAAAGAAAAGGAATAACAGAAATGACATTTTAATAATGTCATTTCGATATTCTATCTTGTTCGAAATTTCATGGATACTTGTTTTGATCAGTTGGTGCATGGTGGTAAGGATTGAGACTGAGGGAACTTGATCCTAGTCTCAACCGTGTAACTGGTTCATTGTATTCCTCAGTAAAGAAATCACATAACCTTTCTGTGCTTCAGTTTTCTCATCTGTAAAATGACAACCGAGCCTCTAAAGCAAAGAGCCTGGTGATGTAAGCCATTGCAGGACATAGTTCCCAATTTTATTGGATGAATCCTGAGACATTTAAACTACTGATGGCTGATGTTGGTTCTATCAAGAGTTAAATATTTGTGGAGACTAATAATCTTGGGCCTGTTACTTAGCAGCTTGCAGCTTCAATTTCCTTTTAATAATACCTAAATCATGTTTTTTTTTTTTTAAATTAAAACACCATATATGTATATGCAATATATATAATAATACATATTATAAAGACACTTTATAATATATATAAAAATATTGAAGCTAATGCTTGTCATTGTAGTTGTTAGGCTATTTTTATAATTTTCTTCTGCTGATTACCAGATGCAGTTAGCTCTTCAGGTTTACCCATAATGTCTTGAAACTTTGTGGACAGATAGTTTGTACCATACTCCTATCACCTCCTCAAAATGCCGGCTCCTGCTGTTTATTTTCCCCAAGTTTTAATCATCTCCAAATTGTTTAACCTTTCATCTCTACTGATCTTTTCATTGGTGACCCTCCTTCTACCGTAGTCTAGTCTACTTTTTAGAAACTATCTGAGCTTACCAGTGTTTTCCTTCTCCTTACAAAATGGTCTTTCTACATCTGTGATATTACCGAATCCTTGTTTCTCCCAGTTCCAACTAACACACACCAATGCATTTGCACCCAGTCACTTGGCAGTAGTCTCATATAGGAATGACTCATTATTTTAACATCACTTCTCCCTTTCAGATTTTTTTCTTTTGTCTAATTGTGATGGATAGCATCTTTTCTACAACATGAAATAATTTGGTATAATGTACATGTAAATCTTGTTTCTAATTATTTTTGTTTTGCCAAAATAAAATATTAATGATCTACATTAAAGAGAATATTTTATATAAAATGTGTACAGTCATATTCTTTGAATATAGGATATTGCCAATTATAAGATACACCTCCATTTTATGGACTAACGAGAGAAAAATCCATGGTAAGATAACATCAATTGTAAGATGTATTACTGTTTCACAAATGTTAAAATGTGAAGAAAAATACCAACAGGATCAGTGAGATATGGCATGTATAGTAGATACTGTTTTTAGTCTTCTTAATTTTTTTGTTAACGTTTTCATACATTCTTCTTTGCTTGATAGAAACTTCAAATTTTTATTTTCGTAGTTTTATGAGCTCTGTCTAAGTTACTTCTTGCTTCATTGAAGATATTGTACAAACTAAGAGATATTTTTTTCTTGGTCTAATTCTTTCCAAATGTTTTTCTTGGTCTAATTCTTTCCAAATGTACATAACTTGATCACTCTACTTTCAAATACCCACTGTGGCACAAAGATGCAGCATCATTTCACTGCTTGAGATGGAAAACATTTTTTATTTTTTCAGGAAGGGTATGCTACACTAATAGTTTCTCAGCTCTTCTCCCTCTACACAGAATTATATATTCTATATAATTTCCTATCATGAACTAACTTCATGCTAGAGAGTGTCATAATGTAGTAGAGTCCTCTGACCTTGTACTGTCAGTTTACCTTATATAAACTTTTTCCTCATCATACACACTTTTTAAAAAATTTATTTTTAAATTATAATTGACATACAATATTATATCAGCATCTTATACACTTTTAAACTTGAGTTTATTTTGTCTTAGCTTCTGTTTTATCTCTAGTGCTAAATAACAACAAAAAAATTTGTTTTTTTTTTTTTTTTTTGGTTTACTATCTCCTTATATTTCCCAGATCCCTATTATTTTACTTTCTCATTATCTCTAAGGGAATGACTTAGAAATTTCATTTACTCTGAGAGAATACTTATGTTGAAGTGGGGTAGAGTAGAGGGATCCAGAAGTGAGTGTATTAGTATTTTACATACTTTAAAACTCTCATTTGGGAGAAAAGTCACTGTATTTTTTATTTGAATGAAGATAAGTTCCGTGTACACTAGATGACTACAACTGAAGATTGACATCTAGTAATCTGTTAAAGCTGGATTTTTTTTTTCTTGGGGGCGCAGGTGTGTGTGTCTAGGAAATCAGAAAAAAATGGAATTATAAAAACTGATTTTTCTACCAATTAAAACATTTTAAGGAGCTCAAGCTCTGTGTGCATGATGTAAAGTAATAGAATAATATTTTGTTTATAAATGTTAGTTTCTAATGTAATAGAATATCCAAGAAGTATTCTTTGGCTAGGCCTTACTTGTAGATAATACTGAATCTTAATTAAACTTGTTGAAATGATTTTTAAATTATTTTATGCCCCTCGAGCAGTGGTTCTTGGGGTTTATAGATTTTAGGGAAAAGATCCTATGAACTCTTGAATTTGTATGTAAAACTCAGCCTTTGGGCACAGTTTTTTTTGTAGGAAGAGGATCCGTAGCTTTAAGCAGAATCTTGAAGAGGTTAATAACTCCAAAGAAATGAAATCTGTAGTGTTCTAGGTCAGCACTATATCTCTTTTATCTGCTCTCCATAGTGATCTTGATTGTAAATTATGAAACCCCAGAGTATTTTGAAGGTCAAAACAAAGGAAATTTCATCTTGAGTTGTTACCTTGGAAACAGCAGTGTTGGTCAAGTGGTATATTTAAAACAGTAATTTACCCATGAAATACCCAGGGAATTCACTTTTAGGAAGTAGTGAATATAAATAAAGATAGTATTGTATTCACAGAAAAAGACATTAGACTAGATCCACGTATGTTGAAAAAAATGTGAAAGATTAAAAATATACTATTTTGAACTTGAGTAATTAAATTCATAGTTGCGATTTAAATTATTTTTCTAAGGGGAAGTATGTGTGTATATATAGGAAATAATAAATATTACTTGGTATTCATATATGTGTGTATATAGGAATTACTTTTTAATATTCATACGAATAATGAAAATACTTGATTTTTTTTTTTATTACAGTGCATGCAAGATATGGGAAATACTAAAGCAAGACTACTCTATGAAGCCAATCTTCCAGAGAATTTTCGAAGACCACAGACAGATCAGTATCCTTTAATATTTCTTTATTGTGGGTTTGTAAAGAATTAACTCATTTTTACAGTTCATATTTTAACTGTATTTAGGAAGATGTGAATGTTATCATACTGTTGTTGTCCATTAAAGATAGAAGTTGATTTGCCCTAAGCTGTGCTTTGTATGTAGTAAAATTTTATTAGGAATCTGGAAATACTTGATCTATATAGTATTTTTTATGTAATTATTACTAAGTGTAAAGTATGACTAATTCTTCTTTATTGATCTCGAACTCTTGATTGGAGTATATGTTGTTTATTATTTTAGACTGTTTATTAGAGATTTGATTTGTGAGCGTTTTGAGTATTTTAAAAAATAATTTTCAAGTAGATTTTCTTTGAGCACTTTTATATAGTAATTATATTTATGTGAAGTAGTTTGCAGTTATGTATTTAAAAGGCAAATTACATATTTAGTATAAGTGGAAGTGCTGAAGTAATTTATGCTAATATTTACTGTTGACACTACCTCTTTGCATAGGTTGCACAGTTGTATTTACTTTATGAATTTGCTCTAATAAATGAATAGAATATATTCTCAAAGACATTTTGGTAGAATATTTTTAACATTTGTTAAAGAAAATCATTTGATTCTATAGGAGTTTCCAAACTCATATTGAAGTTTGAGAAAGCAACTCATCGAAATTGTGCTGCTCTATAAATAAGATTATCTAATCGATTGTAGATATTTGTGATTCTATCCAAAGGTGATATTTGCAATTTTGACAATAAAATGTAGTTTACTAAAGAGCAGTAAACTACTTTTAAGTTACAGACAAAAAGTTAATATTGTATTTGACCTGTTCTATTTCCGCTTCCCTGCTTTCTTCCCACAAATTTAACAATCTGGTGTCTAAGGCTATTTTTATTATAACAAGACCCTAGGATAAGACTGGGAGATACATATCAGGAATAAAAGATTGTGTGAGCAGAAATATTAACGTGTGAAGAAACATGATATTTAAGGTTTTGATGTGACAAGATTTAAGTTTTGAAGGGCAAGTGGCAGTAGAAGCTTATTTTCCAGATTGTGAAGGGTTTTCAGTACTATGTAGAATAGTTTGGCCCAAATGGTTGAAGGATTTAAAAAGCCAAAAGCATTTTGAAGCGGAAGAAACATTAGAAACATTAACTTCTACCACAAAGAAGATTTTGGAGTCAGAGGGACCACGTAGAATACTAGTGTAGCCTTGATATGAGAGCAGTGATGTCGATTTAAATTAGATAGTGGCATTGAGAATGGACAGGAAGAAACTGGGAAGATCAGAAGGTACTTGGGAAAGCAGGAGTAGTTGGATTAAGTTAAAATTGGCTTAATTTCTGAGAAAGACACTGAGATGACCTCAAATTTTCTAGTTTGGCTGATGTTCCATAGAATTCAGTGGAGAGAAGGAATTCAGTTCCAGATGAAGGTTTAAGGGTTAGAAATGAAAGATAATGAGCCATGCTTCATTACTTGGGGCAGGTTGAGATGTCTGTTCAATACACATATGGAGATACCCGTTTACTCTGGACCCTAGAAGAATGCAGGAAATGTATTGCAAATTGGAGAGTCACTTAGTGTGTAAGGATTAGAAAAGTGCTGTGTGAAGATACGGTTACCTAGGGTGGTGGTCCTTTATTCTTTTTTGGGGTTTTGTTGAGAATCTTGGGAATGCTTCTGAGTTACTCCATCCATCACCATGATTCCATGTTATTTTCCAATGCCTTGAAGACACTCAGGGAAGGACAATATATAGCTTCTTGGTATCTTTTCATGTTGAACTCTTCTGTGCAACATTTTGTATATGTCAGTAGCTATATTGTTTCTTAAGTAATTACCATCAATTTTATGATGAACCTTATAGAAGCAAAGGATGAATGAGATATGAGTTATTCTGATATTTTTGCTAATATATTTTTAAATAATTTGGTATTTATCTAAAAGTTTCAGGAGATGAGATTTTTATAGTGAATTGATTGGTGTCTGGTATCAATAAATCCTTGACTTTTGACACAATAAACATATAATGTTGGAAAGAACATCTGCTTAATAAGGGTTTGCTGTGCGCCAACCACTGAGCTTAGCATTTTATGTACATTATCTTTTTTAATTTTCAAAATAACTCAATGAAAGCATTATATTTTCATTTTTGGTGGGGAGAGTGACAGTGGAATGCTTAAAAACTGTTAAACTTCTCAAAGCTTCCAGACATTCTGCCCTGTTTAACAGCACTTAAATATTATTTAATGATGATAGTCCGAGTAAAATAAATGTTGCCACATTTGAGTTTTGATGGCCTTTAAAACTAGATATAAGTTTATAGTTTGGGACTCTGCAACTAGATCATAAGGTCTAGGTGAAGACTTCGACTTTTGAGTACCTGGTATTAATCACATCAAGCTTTTGGATTATGTATATTTTTGCTGTTAGCACAAGTACATTTATTTGGTTTTTCATACTAAATGTTACTACTTCTAACGCATTTACAAATTATGGTCATATTTATATGAGGTGTAGGTCTCTTACTGTTCACAAAAAGATAATCTAATAGTTGTCAGAAACGACTTAAAGAAGGATTTTGTCTAAACAAATTTGAGGTAGATGACTACTAATGATAAAGTATAAGATGACAGCTCTTGGACCCATGAGAGTGGCTTCTGTAATGTAAGACTAGACTGCTTAATTTTTTTTTTTTACTTTAGTTATAGCAATATCACTTTTATCCCTTCTTTTAATTATGAAACAGTGATTTGGAAGTTGTATTAAGAAGACTAGTAAGAAAACCTTTCCCTTTTCTTTATTTTATGAATCATTCATTCTGAAGCCCAGTGCTCTTTTAAAAGCCTAACATCTCTGCACTTTCATTGATTTAAATATAGTTGTCTCATCTCTAGAGGCAAGTGGAACCAAACTGAGTAAAACTCACATAATATGGGACCTCACAGCATTCTTAACAAAATTTGTCATTTTAAAAGCTTTACAATTATAAAAGTTATGCAAAAGCTGCTGTAAAAGTGTAATTTCTCATGTGGGATGTGGTTAATTATAGGATGCATGTACTAGTGCATGACAAATGATAAAACTTTACATTAAGCTTTTCATTATTAGGATATTTCGTCTTATCTAAAATCTTTAATTACTTCAGTTCCATGAGATCTTTTGTGCACCAAAGCTAATCAGCCATTCTTCCTTTGAGCTTTTGAAAGTTTTACTGCTGTCAGTGGTATGTGTCAGGAACTGGAAGATTTTCTTTTTGGGAGTAGATATTAATTTAGTTGTCTTTTAAATGGTATTTTTAGAGAAAGGGGGGAAAGTCTTAAAATACAAATAAATACATGTTAAAAGATAAAATATATAGTGCTGTTAAAAATTTTCTGGCCTTATATAGTGCCATTTGTTAGTTTTGAGGACAGGAACAATTGAGGGTACTCTACTGAATAGTTTGTAACTATAGGCATGGAGAAGATTCTGGGGTATTTTGTTGTTTGTTTACTAGGTCAACCACTTAAACTTAAATTTGAATTAACATATTCCTTACCTTTATTCCCTGAAAATATGGCTATTTTATTTTTAATTTTTTTTGTTGGTTGTGTTATTGATCTCAATCAGTATAACTAAGTCTTACGTCTCAAAGGGCACCTGGACACTGGAAAATGAAAATAAATATTTCTTGATTTCCAAATTCATTGGTTCTTTTGTGGTTGTTTTTCATTTGCTCATCTATTTAAACTTGTGATAGCAAGCCATCAAAGCCCTTAACACAGTAGTTGCAGTTCATTTCCTCCCTCTACCATTGGCCCCATGTTTAAAAGATTTGACTATCAGAATACATTTATTAATAATAAGAGCTAAAAATTAAATAACTTCACTGTGTGCCATGCACTGTTGTTCTTAGTTCTTTACATAAACTCATTTAATTCTTATAATAATCCTGTGAGATGAGCCTTAGTGTTATCTCCATTTTAAATGTGAGGAAACTGAGATACAAATTTATATAAAACTAACTTCATTTATTGAATGCTTACCATTTGTTTGGTACTGTGCTATGTGCTTTATATATATTATCTCCCAAACTCTCAACAACTTTGTGAGATGAGTATTATTTTATTTACATATTTAGATATGGGTTTAGTAGGTTAGCTAACTTCAAGGTCACAATAATGGCCAGTTAAATAGCAAGTGCCTACTGGTACCAGAAATGAGGATTTATATACATTGGAGACCAGCTTCTTTGGGAATACTTTTCCTTGAAAATTCCTCAGATGGTTTATACAGTAGTCCCCTCATTCACAGTTTCACTTTCCACAGTCTCAAGTTACCCATGGTCAACCACAGTCCAAAAGTATTAAATGGAAAATTCCAGATATTTTGAGAGTGAGACCACATTCACATACCTTTATCACAGTATATTGTTCTCATTGTTCTGTTTTATTATTAGTTATTGTTAAGCTCTTACTGTGCCTAATTTATAAATTAAACTTTATCATGGTATATATGTAAGTATGTATAGGAAAAAAATAGCATATCTAGGGTTTGGTACTACCCACGGTTTTAGGCATCCACTGGAGATCTTGGAACGTATCCCCCGTAGATGAGGGTGAACTACTATAGTGACAATTTGCAGACACAGAGACTCTCTACAAATCCAATTTGGCTGTTCTTTGAGCTCTAGTGTTAGAGTAGAATTGAGGAATTAAGAACTACAAACCCATGAGCCAACTCCTGATTTTATAAATCAATTTTTAGAACATAGACATGCCCATTCATTTTCTATGGCTGCTTTGGAGCTACAAAGGCAGGGTTGAATGGTTGCAGTGCAGACTATCCTGCAAAACATAAAATATTTACTCTCTGGCCCTTTAAGAAAAAGTTTGTTGATCTTTGGAATAAAATATTGTTTCTTTAGATGAATTAACAAAGAATTGGCTTGCATTGTGGGACCTTGCACAGAAATATATAAGGACCATGTGATATGTTCTTGCTCTAAGAAACATGTAAGAACTGAGAGCAACCAAGGACATAGCATGTTCCCTAAATCACAGTCTTTCCTCAGGTGACTTCCTGTGGAATTTTTAAAATTCACTTTGTGGTGTGCTTTGATTGCTTTTTAAAAAGTAATGTTTTGTGTTACAAATTAGGAAGATCCTAGTATGTTTTCCTATACTAATGCTTCATTTTTAGTTTAGTTTAGTTTTATATCTTTGGAAAACATATTAACTTTTGTCCATATAATTTTTAATTTTTTACTTCTTAAATAATTCCTGAGAGGGTTTTTTTATCATAAGCAGAAATTAGACTCATATAGTTGAATTATTTATATACAATATATTAAGAATAAGTTAAGATTTCACTGACATCTGTTATTTCTGAAAATTCACAGCAACATATTATTTTTAAAATGTTTGCCTTTTTCAAATTCAATATATATGAAACCATCATAGTTTTCAATATTTTAGTTTTATTATTGGTGGTTAAATTATTTTATGTACTGTATTTATAACCTTAATAATAATAATTTTTTGGTCATAAACAGTGATCTTTTCTTTGTTGTTCATAAAGGAGAGTAGTGAAATCTTATCAGGCTGTATGTAATATGTAGTATACTTTAAACAATATCCATGATAAACTGTTGTTTATCATTGCGAAGGAAAAATATCATTGTTATTCTTCTCTTCAGATATTTAAACGTAAAAATTAGACTTTAAGAATTTGGATTTCTAAGTTTTCTTTAGTTAAAAAATAACTATATACATATGTTATATAATATTTATATTTAACTGTAAATATAATTACTGTTTTAAAAATATTTATATAATATTTAAAAATAAATATATTTCAAGTTACCTGGAGTGAAAATCTCATTAGTCTAATAAATAAATTCTTTTTTTCTTCTCTTTTGTGGAGGTAAATAGTTGTTTCTACCATGAAAATTGCTCAGTGCATCCACATTGCTTTACTTTATTCAAAAGGTCAGCTTTTTTGATTGTTTCGTTTTTTTCTATTAGAAAAATAGAAAAAAGGTAATATTACTAGGATTTATAGTCATAAACTTAACATGTAGCTGACTTACATGTGAAATAGTTTATATAAAATACTGTTGCATTTTATGAAAATCTTGACATACTTTGGTAATTTCTTTCTTATTGGCTGTCAAAATGTTCACATATCTAAATATGCAGCTATGTAGCAGCTCTGGGGCCTTTTACTTCAAAGGGGCTCCAAGGCCACTTTGAAAATGAAGGCACCCTTCAGATTTGACATTCTTCTCTAGATATTAATGCATTTATTATCATTACCAGAAATTAACTGATTCACAAATGAACTTGTGATGACCAGTAACATTCTGAAAAGTTAGATGTTAAGACGTTCCTGATTTTGAGTCACAACTCTCCTTTGTCCTGTAGGATCTCAGAGAACTTTTAAAATTTCCTATTCCCCAGTTTTAGTTGTGAAATGGCACCTACCTTATAAGTTGTTAAGAGGAGAAAAAAAGAGAATCCAAAGTACCTTTCACATATTTGGGTTGTAGAAAACTATCTTTAAAAAATGGCTTTCAGGCATTCAGCTTACGTAATAAATTGAATGTTTAGATTTTCTGTCTTGCTTGCCATTATGAAAAGGCTTTGAGTGCTTTCAGAATGCCTCAGTTCTTTTATATCCACTGTATAGTGGTCTGTCAACTTTTCTTACTACCTATTGCCTCAACTGTCAATTTAAAAGGTTTTTATTAACTGCTAATATGGAGTTTTTGACTGATAAATGTATTACTGCTTTGGGTGACTTTTAAACAGAAGGTTGCCTTAACCTGAGGATCTACAGAGATTGTATTTCAGTGTAATCCATTTCTTTTGTAATTCTATGTATTATATTTTATGCATTAAAAAGCACTTTCCCAGAAAGGAGTCCACAGGCTTTACTTGTGGGGTTCACAGTACTAAAAAGGTTAAGAATCCTTGATGGAAGAATTCCCATTTTATTAGAATATGATAAAGCTGTGATTGAGTGGTAAGAGAAGTCATCTATATCAGATAACTCAAAACTCTCAAATCCCACTAGAAATGGCTCACTGTATCAACAGTTAAGACTAGCTCAGCCAACTTCAAAAATATTAAATAGTACTAACCTTGGTTTTAGCTTCTTGATTTCTACATTCCTCAGCTTTGCAAGAAAGAATCGGCCACTATTTTCTTAATACACAGAGGAATCCTCTATGATACAACCAGAGGCAGCTATGTATAGTGATAAAGAACTTAAGTATTGAAATCATAATTGTTTAATTTTTTCAAGTTGCTGATTCTTCATCTATGATGTGGAAATAATAATATGCACATTATTGGATTGTGGACTAAAGGAAACAAACTGTGGACAATACCTAAACAATGTCTGGTATACTCTGGATACTATATGGGTATTAGTTTCTTATATTGAAAATTAAAAATGAATCTTAATTGAATTTAGAGTTTTGGGGTGTGGAGAGCTGACGAGTGTGGTAGAATTGAGAAATGTGGTTTTCTTTCTAGAATTAGGTTGACTGGTTTTGTTGGATGGGGAAAATTTTCTGAAAGAGATAGACTTTGGCAGAAAGAAACGTAGGTTACAGAATTTAGTTGCAGAAATAGTGGGAAAAGAAAGCATAGACTAGGGAGTAGGAAAATTGAATTTAGAGTCTAAGCTTTGTGGAGAGGAATGAATAAAGGGGCATATACTCGTCACTGAACTTTTGCTTTTCCTTAAGTTATCTGTTTTCAGAGCAGTGGAATTTTTCATCAGAGATAAATACGAAAAGAAGAAATACTACGATAAAAATGCTATAGCTGTCACAAATGTAAGTAACACCTTTAGCTCTATCTCCAGTTGACATTTGTTCAATAGATCTTGAGCTTTTAACATACAATACAGCTCAATTGTATTTATTGTAAAAATATACCAGTTACCTACATTTTAAAACTTGAATATTGAAATTACTTTGTCACATTTTAATAAACTCTTATAAAGCAGAACTCTTGATTCAGAAGGGAGAGTATTTAAGAGTCTGATAACTGCTTAAATGGCATTTAATTAAGTTGATTCTATGAAATTTGCAAAAAAATAAAGCCACTTATGAAAAAAGGAGAGAAAATTATTTTACTACATTCTAGAAGTGAATGGAAAAAGAAAAAAGGCAAATTTATTCTTCCCTAAGGGCTGTAGTGGATCTGTCCAGACATAAATATATTAAATTACGGCATTCTAATTGATTATTATCAAGGATTTTGAAAACTAATAGTTGAAACCTTACTGTTGTGATCAAATATGTTATATCACTGTTTCTTTTTAGTGTTTTTTTATCCCAATTAAGATTTTCCATCCTAGTTAATTACAGTTTAAGACTAATTGTCTTTATTGGTGCTATCATTTTTTTTTTTTACTTTGATTTCTGGATGAATAAGCAAGCTATAAGTTGGTTGATCTTATGGTTAAGTCATCTGTCAAGCAATTTAGAGACAATAATCTCATCTCATTTTACATGTATACTGGATTTTCCTTTTTAGTCCATATGGAGAAGCAGTGTACTAAAAAGTTCAATCAAACACTAACAAAGTAAGGATATTTTAATACATTGTCTTTGACCATGAAAAATCTTGTTAAAAATGTTTAACATAAAATTGATGTACATTTTGGAGCAAAAATACCTTGTGTATAGACTTTGGGCTGCATTTATAATGGATGTAGGAGAGGAAATCTTTTGAAAGATTGATAAAAATTGGCAATACTGAGAATGATATTTATATGTCCATAAAACTAAGTTTAATTATTGCATCATGATGGGGGAGGACTAACTTTAAAAAATAAGTAATATATTTTTATATGAAATTTTAAGAAATCATTTTAGTATATTTTATAAAACATACTGCTTTACATTAAACACCTGTTTTAAAAATCCTAAACTTTTTAAATATCTATATTTATAGTATTTTTTTCTTCTTGGCAACAGTTGGAAATTATTTTCATATAGTAATGTACAGGAAAACAGTTTTATCTTTAAAGGATAGCTGTTGATACAGAATTGTTTTTTTCTCCTCAACTGTGATAATGATATTATGCTTAGTTAAGAGAAATTCTTCACTAGTAAGAGATGTGTGCTGGAATAAAATATTTAGGGATCAAGTGCCATGATAGCTATAGCTCACTTTTATTATTTGTTATAAGTTATACAAATACATCTAAAATAACCTAGTATGTAAAATTATATTAATATGGAAATATTACTTTCTCCCACTTTCATGTATATTGCAGCAACTTTATGCAGAGTCTTCACATGCATCTTCAATATCAGTGTCTATCAGCACTGCCATTTTTTGTTAGCTCGTTTTTTTCTTTATTAAAAAAATTTCAGTTACAGTTGACATACAATATTATATTAGTTTAAAATGGGCGACATAGTGATTAGACATTTATATACCTTACAAAGTGATCACCCAAATAAGTTTAGTATCCATCTGATACCATACATAGTCATTATAATATTATTGACTATATTCCTTATGCTGTACTTTAGAGCCTCATGACTGTTTTTATAAACTGGCAATTTGTACATCTTAATCCCTTCCCCTTTTTCACCTGTCCCTCCCAACCCCCTCCCATCTGGCAACCATCAAAATATTCTCTGTATTTATGTATATCTCATTTTTAAATGGCTCAGTGAAACCTGTTAGCTGAGAGAGAGAGAGAGACAGAGACAGACATAGTATAATGTTAAGATTTAATGACTATTAGTGAAGTTTACAGAGCTGTTCATTCTGTGATTTACATTTTTTTTGTAGGCTTGAAAATAAAAATTTTAAGGTAAAAGATTAAATACCATTGAGTGTATATTATTAATGTAATGAAAATTCAGAAAATTTCATAAAAATCACATTTACCCAAGGGAAAATGTATTTTATCTATTCATTTATAAGCAGGATAATGATTTTTTTAAAGTTTATATTCTAGCAAGTTTAAAATATTTCTTTTTCATGACAGTGTGCAAGTAACTAATCGTATTACTAAGAATTATATATTTGTATCCAGTATTTTGTCGTCAGTAATAGATTGAACATTCATTCAAACAATAATTTTGATTATTTATTATATCACAGTTTCCTAGGGTATTGAAATAGGACACGACCTTTGCTTTCAGAGAGATTTAATTTCATAGTGTGGATGAGATCAAGTTAAAAATATAAACATAATGTGAAACAAAATAAAATATCTTATATCTAAGGTACTTAAGGAGTACTAGGGCACTTAGGGGATATCAAGGGGGGATAGTTTGAATACTAGTTGTACTAGTTGTACTCTAAAGAAATGTCTTGAGTGGCTGTTAAGCTTGATATGGCTGTTACCCTATAATATATGGCTCCAAATTGCTTTACCTTTGTAGTGTTTGTGTCTGATTTTTACAGTTGTTCTGTTTCTTCTTATTTTAGCTGACATTTTTTAGTACTGCCAGTATGTTATTGCTCTTATTTTCTTATTTTCAGCAAGAGTAAAGGCCTAAAGTTGACCCTGTTTCTCTGTGTAAGGCAGTAATTTTTTAATACTTTCTAAGCATTCGTAAATTTTTTGGCCTTCTGAAACATAAACATTTCAATATGTTGTGGCAAAATACAAAATAATAAACTGCAACAGAACAGTGGCAAAGAATTTTGCTGTTTTTTCCTAAAACATTGCCCCCTTGCCTCCCAGGCCATTTAATGTATATGTGAACTAAGCCCCACACGAATCCATTATGTAGAGTATGAGAAAGGCTAGGATGGTACTTCCTTCATTCCTAGGGATTTTTCATTGTGAAGAGTAGTCTCAGTGAATGGTTAGTAAATATGGTGTTTGGTCGTATAAACATGGTATTTCTGAGAAAGCAGGGAGGGTACATGTGCCGCTTTTATGGAGGGAGTTTGTGGTATAGGCCTTATGGTTTTGAGTGCTGTGTGGCACTATAAGCATAAAATGAGGAGGCTTAAAGGGAGGAAGTAAAGTTCAGATAGAGACAAAAACAAAGGAAAATATGTTCCAAGTAAAAATGTTTTTTACTAGATTTTTTTACTGGTTTGTAGCCTTAAACAGAAAGAGAATTTTATTTCTTTAGCATCTTTTAAAGTAACTGCATGGTGCTGGGCACCATTGTGGGCATATTATATCAGTTTCCTTCCTATCAACCGTAATTATTTCTCTCCCTTGCTCCTGACATTTGTGCTAGCCTCTCATTTTGAAACTAGATATGAAATGACAGAGATTGGCTGTTGACATTTCTCTGGAATGTTTTTTGATCATTTAGTCATCAAAAACAAACATTTTTGAGTGTATACGATCTTCAAGGCACTGAGATTGAAATGGTATAATCTTTGTCCAAAAGTAGCTTACTCTCAAACATTATCAAGATATAATTTACATGTACAGTGAACCAAATGTAGTAACTGTTAGAAGAATAAAAGTGCTATGAGAATACAGTTTTGGTAGCACTAGTTAATTTTCACTGGCAAATTCTTAAAAGGAGTATGTTTAAGACTATTAATAGAAAAGTAGGATTTCAGCTAAGAGAAAAGAAGAATGTTGAATATGTAGGAAGGACATTTCAGGCTGAAGGGACATTTTAGCCCATTTTTACTAAAGTAAGATGAAAGAGTTCAAGATATATTATGTGGTGTTTGCGTTTGGCAGGTAGTCCATGAGACTGTCTCATTTAGTGAATGTGAAAGAGGGCTATCAGGATGGGTAGATGACCAAGAGAGAATAAATGTATGAGGAAATAAGTCTTGAAAGGCAAATAGAGATTGTATAGAAGACTTGAATGCCAGACTGCTCAGGATTTTCTGTTTTTTTGGGTTTTTTGGTTGTTTTTTTTTTTGACTAAGGGATGGTTATTGGATTGTCTTTTGCCATTTAATAAATTGCTAGAAACTAAGTGACTTAAAACAACACAGATTTACTATGTTACAGGTTTTGTTGGTCAAGAGCCTGGGCATGGATTAACTGAGTTCTCAGCTCAGGGTGTCAGCAGACTGAAGTCAAAGAGTTGGCCAGAGGTGTGTGTGATCTTATCTGAAATTCAGTGTCTTCTTGAATGAAGCTTGCGGTTGTTGTCAGAATTCATTTCCTGTGGCTGTCTGACTGAGGTCCTGTGTTCCTGGTGCCAGGTGGGGGCCACTTTCAGTTCCTAGGGTCCACCGTCAGGTCCTTGCCAGATAACCTTATCTTCTTACAACATGGCAGCTTGCTTCTTCAAGGCCAGTTGGAGAATTTCCCATTCCAGATCTCTTAAGGGCCCACCTGAGTAGGCCAGGCACACCCAGAATAACCTCCCATTTTATAAATCCATTATTAACTCTTTTGTAAAAATTTTACATTTGTAAAATTTTTTTCTCTTTGTCATATAACAACCTAATCAAGGGAGTGAATCCATTATACTCACGTTCTGCCCACACAAAAGGGGAGAGCATTATTCAGGGCATATATACCAGGAGCTGGGAATTTTGGTGGCCATTTTAGAATTCTTGCCACTGTGATACAGAATGAATTTGCCCTTCCTGGTTATTTCTTAATTGAATGAGAGAGAGAGGAAATTTTAAAAACTTTGAGTACGGAAATCTCTGTCTTCCCTCTGACCCTCCTTAACCAATAGTGGATCACAACTACAAGTACAATAATAAAGTGAGAATTCTTAGTTCCTAAGAGATCTAGCATGTCTTGAGTAGATGAGGCTGAACTCTGCCATATTATTTGTTCTTTTCCATCAGCAGCTTTTTTCTCTTCCTCCACCCTTCCTTCCTTTTTTTCCCTTCTTTCCCTCCTGCCCTTCCCCCTCGTGTATTTCTATCTTCACACTATTCATTTACCATCATAATGATCAAAAAAGAAAATGTACTTTTTGTAAATTATGAAATGTGTAGGCAACCCTATTTAATCCTGACTCCCTAACTTTTTGTAAATTGTAAAATGTTTGGGTAACTCTCTTTAATCCTGACTCCTCAACTTCCTCAGTTTTGTTTTGGAAAAGCATCTAATAATCTTTAGGAGTTGGTAACTTTAAATGTTCTTGTCTCAGTTTATCTTATCTATTTCTTGCCTACTTTACCACTTCTCATCCCTCAGAAACAACCTTTTAAACTCTATTCGAGTATATACTTGAGTTGAAAGCATGCAAAGATGTTAATTCTCCAATCTGAATTTCACATGAAATTACTTTTCCAATCTGTTGCCATATATTTATTTTATAAAAGTTTAAAAACAATAAAGTTTTTACTTGTTTTGTTTTATATATGTGTGCATGTATATATGTATAAAGGCTAACATTTAGTATAACAAAAGTAAAGTTAAATATTTCAACTTAGAAATTATTGTGGAAACAGTGTTTGTGTTATAGTGCAATAAAAATGACATAGCACTAGTAACTTTATTAATCTGTTTCCAATTAACTGATGATTATGTAATTATTTAAGATGCATAAGCATCTTTTAAGACAGTGTGAATTGCAATTAATTTTAGTTCTTCAAAAAAGGAATGAGAAACTTAGATGAATGATTAGGTGGTGAGTTAGGATTAGTATAAAATACCATAATTTCAGGTTGGTTTTCTTTGTTCTTTTTGGTACAATTTTAGTTTTCTCTTCTGTGGAATAGGAATGATCATGGGGTCTACATTTCATAGTATTGTCGTAAGAGTTAAATAAGATAAAGGCACGCTGCATTTTTAGTAGGGTGCTTGGCACACAGTGCTTAATAAATATAAACTATTGTGATAATTATGTTGGAAAAGGGGAAGAGGGTGACAGTGGCAAATGACTGTAAGCAAGTGGATAATTAAGAAACGTGAATACTCAGAGTTCACTAATATAAAACTTTGTCATTGGCACGATTTTGGTTTGAGTTCTGTTTGATTAATCCATCCACATTTAGTCAGCTGCTTAACTCAGACTGGAGGGATGAAGGAATGCTTCCTTTAAAGATAAGTAGAAACTAACAGAAGTGTGGATATTTCAAGTAGAGGAAGCAGTAGGAGCAAAATCCCTTAGAGGCAGTAGGAACAGACTAGAGATCTGGAACCACAAGGAATCATGTGTGACTAGACAGCAGTGAAGCCAGGGCAGGGAAGAGTAGAGAGGAGATAAGGTAGATGACACTTGTGGCCTGGTTAAGGAGTTTGAACTCTGTCCTTATATGATGTGAGTGAACTATTTCAGGCTTCTAAGTGAGGATATGCAGTGATCAGATTTGCATTTAAGAGTGTCATAGTTTGGAGAATAGCAAGACTTGGGGCAGGGAGACCAGTTAGGAGGACTAATTCAGGTGACAGGTGATGGTGATTTCCTACTGTGTGGTTAGAGGTGGTGAAAAGTGGTTCTGAGAGATTTAGGAAGAACTTTGAGAGTACCTAGTTTTTCTTGTGTATTTTTTTCTTTTCATCTTTCCTCTTTCGTTCTCCCTCATGTATTCACTTTTAAAAAAATTAGCTTTATTGGAGTATAATTTACATACAGTAAAAGACAGACAATTTACGATAAAGTTCAGTGAGTTTTAGGGGAAAAAATATGTACCCCTGTGTAACCACCACCACAACTCGTACATAGAACCTTTCCTAAACTCCAAAAGGTTCCTTTGTGACTCTTGTCTCCTCCTCTGGCCCAGTTAGCCACTGATCTTTTTATCAGTGTAGATTATATTTGTCATACACCAGGTACTCTTTTGTGTTTGACTTCTTTGAGTATGTTTCCAAAATTCATCCCTGTTTTTGTGAGTACTATTAGACCGTTCCTTTTTTATTGGCAAATAGTAGTTCTATATGGGTACACCACAGTTACCACACTTGGTGTATCCATTTACTTGTCGATTTGCCCATTGACTTTTCAGATGTCTTTCCTACTGAACAAGTCTGTGTTTTTTTCCTGGAACACATAGTATTAAAGGGCTTTTATTTATTTATTTATTTTTGGGGGGCGTTAAAATGCTTTGTTAAATTACTAATATTTATTGAATAATTTTATATTCTTGCTTCTGAGTTTTAAAAGTGGCAAAATTAGTGTGTCATCTCAAAAGGTGAACAAGCAGGAAAATAATGCTTCCATTAAAGTAATCAGCTACGTATGTAGAAATTGAGTAAACAGATGTGTGAAAGGCTTTTAGATAAAATTCTTTTTCATGGATAAATCGCCTTTGCTGCATATATAACTGTCTCATAATGCTTCGGGGTAATTCAGCAAGTATAGCACTAGAAATGGTGTTTGTCCATACTGATCATAAGAAGTGTATAAATTGCTTTATAAGTTTTGTCTGCTGCTCTGCTGTTTCAGTACATTAATCCACTCTTTTTTTCTCAGCCTTTTTTGTTTTGATTAAACAGTTGATTAAAACTTTAATTTTTCCTATTTCAGCTCTATTTTATTTTCCATTCTTAAAATAGTTATTATAAGTAAAAAAAAAAAAAACTCATTTGTGCTCTCCTGCTACTTGGGACAATGTGCCTTCATGCTTCAGAGCATTAGTATTTCAATAGTAACATTGACTAAAACTGAATCACTGGGAAAACTTAATTATTTTTTAAATACTTCTATTATGACCTTGTCTCAATACATTTAAAATTTTATAGCATAGTGAGATCCATTTTAAATGAAACACTATTCTGTAATTAATATTTAAGTTTTAGAAAATCCACACGGAAATTTTTAAAAAGCAATACATTCTTTTCGTGTACTACTTTCTTTTGTTACACACTTCTAAGTACTTCTGTATCTCAGAAATACATGGATTTTTCTTTCCTGTGCCTGTCAATTCTGATTACCTTCTTTTGTTTTTTTTCTCCTGACTTTTCATCTGCATTCCACAGATTTCCTCCTCTGATGCTCCTCTTCAGCCTTTGGTAGCCTCTCCTTCTCTTCAAGCCGCTGTTGAGAAAAACAAATTGGAGGTATGGTAGTGTGTTTAGCCAGCTGCATTATGTAGTGTGTTCAATGGTAAATGAACTTCCTTTCACAATGTGCCATAATTTGGGAATGCTATAATAGTTATTTAAATTTTGAATGCTCTCCCATATTAAACATGTTAACTACAACAATTTCTAGAATATTTTCCTATGCCACAGGTAGGATTAAAGGGTTTTATATTTAATTTCAGAATAACTGATTTATTGGTACCATAGATAGATCTCAACATTTTAGAAGCAATTAGCTTTTTGTTGTTTTTTCCATTAGTACCTTGTACTTACAGGAGCTTTTTTTTTTTATTTGCTCTTGAATTCTTTGATCTACTAGGAAAGTCTGATTAAAATGGTTTCTTTCCCTGATTCTGTTACAGCATTTGAAGAAAGCTTTTTTAAAGCAATAGTAACCATCATATAGATACGATATATGTAATATAGAATCATAACTTTTGAATCATCGGTGATAATTTTTAGAGTGTGTTTCAGATAGGAGAGGTCAGGGTGTCTACTCCTTGATAAATGATATGCTAAACATGGGGCATACAAAGATAAAATATATATACTTTGCCCTCAAGAAGCTAACAGTCTAATGGAGGAAAACAGATAATTTACAGATTTCTAATGAAACATAATGTGTGCTGAGATTGACATAACACTCGCTGCTATTAATATAGGAGGCATGCTTTTGATGCATCTTAAATTCCTAATTAGTATTAGCTATAAGGATTAAGATGCATTCCATAGCGAAAACATCTTAAAAAAGACCTGTGGGCAAAGTAGAATGTTTTGGGGATTTTCAAGTAGAATGACATAGCCAGAACATGCATAGGATAGGGACAGAAGTAAGTGAGGAACCTTCTTGTGAGCCTAATGATAGAGTTAGGTCTTCATTTTGAAGGCCCTGGCACTTTAATGTTGAGTTTTAAGAGTAAGAAGGTCTGACCTTGTCTCAAGAGTAAGAAATCTGATTTTCATGTTATAATACTGCTCTACTCTCTCTCTAGAGAGTGAATTTTGTTCTGGCGAGTATGGAAAAAACTTGAAAACCTGTTGCTCTAATCCATTATTAAAACCATGGGAGCATGTGCTAAAATGGTGGCAGAGGGAATGAAAAGGAGAGTATAGTTTTAAGAGATCTTGAAAAGAGAGAATCCATAGGATTTAGTAATCAATGGATTGTTGAGGTGCTTTTGAAAACTCTGATGACTCCCAGTTTTTGGCTTGAGCATCTCAGTAGGTGATGGTGCTATTCAGTGAGAAAAGGGTACAAGCTGAGGAGGAAGAACAGATTTGAGGAGAGAAAAGGAAGGGAGATGAATTAGAAGTTGGATATGTTGAGTATGAGGTGACTGTAGGACATCCAGATGTCTAGTAGGTGGTTGAATATACAGGTCATATCCCAGAGAAAAGATTTTGGATGGGGAAGGAGGTAGTAAGAGAGACAGACAGACAGACTGACTTGAACTTTAGAGTTCTTAAGAGTCCTCTATAGCACTAGACTTTAGAGAGCACCCCAAGGCAGTCCATTTAAGATGCCTATTCATTCTTTTTTTCTTATCCTTTTAAAATTTCTATTTTTGTGTATGCTTTATAATGTGCATAATATAGTCCTATATATGTGCTTTATAAATAAATACATTTATATGTGGTAGAGTATGTTCACAACTCTTTAAGATAGGAGTGCATAATCAAAAATTTTGGAGAACATATCTTTAATTCAATCACTTAAATATAGTTTGATTACAATGAACCCAAATATGGACTTTTCTCTATCTTATAGGACTTCAATAGTTATTCCAGTTTTCTTACTCAGGAGGTCTCCTGTTTCACTGTGTATTTATATACATAGCAACAGAGTTTCAGGAACTATTATTTTACAGTACCAAACACTGCTGTATTTTGTCCTTGTTCAGAAAATAGTTTAAAACAACTTAGGTTCTCATAGTACTCTATGATCTTGCAGCAGCTTTTGATTTTAAAGTAGGATGTGATCTGTGGGTAAATCTGTATGATCTGAGTTTAAAGCTCATGTTTTAAATGTTACTTCAAAGCCTATGTCATGATATCTACCATGTTGGAATCAGAGTAGATGCCAGCCATATTTTGACAGCTGAAATTCCAGTTTTAAGGAGCATCGAATCATTCTCTCTGTCTATTAAACATTGAACTAATTTATTTTTGTTAATTTCTTATGTGCTTACCAATCATAGTGTTTAGAGGGACAAGCTTCTTCCCAACTCTCATGGCAATGGCTTCCCTGAGAAATAACAGTTCTGAGCGGTTACAGAGCAGTTCATTCCCAGTATATGAGTGACAGTATTCAATCACATTACTTTGCTCACCAAACTTGACTAATATCTAGAAAACATTTTGTAATATATAAAGAATTTTTGCAAACCTCATTTGTTCTTCACTTATAAAGTGGGGATAATATTACTTACGTTGTAAAGTTGTTAGGATTAAATGAATCAAAACTGTCTGGCACATAGTAAGGGATCAGAAAATATTATCTGCTGTTGTAAGGAAGAACAATGCCAAATAGCGGTGCTCCACTGGATGGCAGTGAATGGTGAGACTTGAGAGTTTGGGTTCTGTTGTCCCATGGCCTTACCATTGATTAGCTGTGTTGTTTTGTGCTTTTCTAAGATTTTGTTTCTTCATTTATAAAACAACAATAATGACAGGTTTTTTCTTCAGACAGTTATTCTAAAAATTAAATGAGAAAATAAAATGCTATCACAGTGCCTTGCCCATAGGAAATTTTATTATATCTCTTACGTTATAGCCCAGGAATTGCCAGTACTATCTTTCCTGATTTACAAATAGTAAATATTCTACTCTTGAAAGAGGTAGTGTCAAACACCATTTTAAAGGCACAGGCATAAATGCAGCCTTTAGGCATTTTGACTAAGTTTTGTGTGTTTATTATTCTGCCTTTCCTAGATTTATTAGTTTATATTTTCATACTTGCTACCAGGAAATTAAGGTCAGATCAATACTCAGTTGCAGTGGTCTTCCAGATCTAGGTTTCTATGTATCTCTTCCCTCTAAACGCGTTATGAATAATGCTCTTTATTTAATCTTTATTTCATTTTTCTTTTTTCAGACTGTTTGTAACCCTTAAATTTTTAATATTATATCCTGTTTTATCTTTCTTGGACATGGCAAATTGTGATCATCATACCATTATAGTTTACTGTTGGATTGCACTAACTATGCAGTTGGCTCTGGTCCCCAAACACTATATTTAACATTTTATCATGAGAAAATTATTGTATTTGCCATTTTTAAAATCACAACACTGTGGGGAATGTTTTATGATTGTTTTTAAAAATTAAAGTGATTATACCCTTTCCCTCTCATGTTTACATGTTATAATCTGTGTTTATCTGTGCGATAAAGAATTGAGGCCTGGTCAGTTCAACTACTTTTTTCCTTATTCAAATTTCAACTTTATGATTGCTGTTAGGAAGCCTAACCTTATGTAAAGATGCAGTGAAAATTTATTAAATAGAGATCTCATTTGTTTAAAACAAACTCTGAAATATCAAAGTTCTAAATTCTCAGCTCCATGTTAATTTTTTTAAGAAACAGTATTTTTATTGTATTTCAAAATGTGATCTCAATGAGTATGAATTTGCTATGTTAACTTATGTGTTAGTATCGCCAGATATTGTCATCGTTGAATATTTGTATCTTTCTCATGACAACTTAAAATAAAAATGTGTTAAGAGCTGACATTATTTGAAAAGTAGATTTATCAAAAACCTCGGGCTATGTTTTAGAAAGAAAAAGAAAAAAAAAAGGAAGAGAAAAAGAGAGAAAAGGAACCAGAAAAGCCTGCAAAATCTCTTACAACAGAAAAGGTAAAATTCCTTTTTTTTTTTAATCTATGAAGTTTACCATCATATTTGTATACTTATATTTGAATGACTTTAGGGATATTAACAATATGCAAATAATCATTCTTCAACAATGTGTTTTGAGTGAATACTGTGTACTAAGCATGCCCTCTAGCTTGTTTTATATGATTGTAGTTAGTTACATATGTGTGGGTATAGATCATGTGAGTTCCTCAAGGTAAGTGTTTTCTTATTAATGACATAATGAATGCAGTAATAGCTTGCATGCACAATGAGACTTCCATGAAAGTTTATGAAAAGATAATTCCTGAATAGGCTTTCTGAAAAGACCGTATGCTTAATATTAGCATTTGAATTGGATTTCGAAGTATAGATAGGATAAAATGGAAGACAAGGAGTGTATCAGTTGGAGAGTAAGAACAGACATGGGAACTGAAAATAGACAAAGTATGTATGCGTAGGAAAAGAGTTTGAAAACAGATATGTTTATGTACAGAAAGTAGTGAAAAATTAGACCAGAATGGTAGATCGAGCACAAATTGTAGAAGACCTTAAAGTCTAGGTTGATTCTTTTTTAGAGAAGAAGCCTGTTGAAAGCATTTCAAAGTTTCTAAAGTAGATGATACACATAATTCACAAGGTTCTTGTGGAAGATTATTTGGATAGATGTGATTAGACAAACTAGCAGTATAGAGAACATTAGATTTTTGTAAAGGAATTGGTTAAATGATTTATGGCGGCTTGGCTTTGAATGCATTTCATCATATAACTATGGAAGCATGGTAAGGAAATTGTCAGCAAAGGGCATTTTCTTATGCCATATTTGTATCATCGTAAGTTTTAGTATTTGCACTGCATTAATAAAATTTTATATTTTATATATTTCTAGCTCATGTTATGACATTTTCAAATGTAGGTGGAAATGAAAACTAAATTTTAGGATTTAAAAAGGGTATTTTGTACCTCACATTCATTAGGATGACTACTATCAAAAAAAACAAAGTAACAAGTGTTGGTGAGGATGTGGAGAAATTTGAACCCTTGTGCACTATTGGTGAGAATGTAAAATGGTGCAGCTGCTGTGAAAAACAGTGGTGATTCTTTAAAAAAGTAAAAATAATTACCATATGATCCAGTATTTTTACTTCTAGGTATATAGCCAAATGAATTGAAAACAGTGACTCAAACAGATGCTTGTACACCCATATTCATAGCAGCCTTATTCACAATAGCCCCAAAACATATTCTACATGTGTTCTAGCTACTGTGATATCCTGTGTGATTTAAGTGTAAGGCTGACACAGTAACCTTAAGAGTGATTCGATCTGACAGTTTGGTTGCTTTCAACTAACTTATGCTGCCACCATTTTGTATGCGTATATTTAGAAAGATACATGGAAAATTTTCTAAATATTTGGATTGAACGTGGCAACTATTTCAATACCTTCAGTGTATAAGGCATGCTAAAGGGTTGGGAGGAATATAAAAATGATGAAGATAGATAGTCTCAAGAATCTTAAAATTCAGAAATAGGAAGTGATTGAAAAGGGATGATTTGAAAAATAACTTTAACAAAAGGTTGATACAGTACATAAAACAGGAGAGTTATAGAGCATGGAGATTAAAGAAGCGAGTGTTAACATGTTGGGATTATTAGGAAAGTCTTCATGGAGGTGATTACATTCGACGTGGGCTTTGAAGATTGTTAGGAAGGAGGAGGGGAAGTCAACAGGCAGAGCAAATAGCATGAAAAAATGACAAAATCGTAAGGCATATTTTGGCAGTAATGAACAATCCAGTTTAGAGTATAAGAAAATGAAATATATGACAAAAATAATATTGAGAGAACCTTAAATTTCATGATAAATAGTAGATCACTTCTGATTTTGAGTGAGGGAAGTATATTGATTTGAGCAATCATTTAGTACAGGGGTCTGCAACCCCCCAGGCCGCAGACCAGTACCAGTCCGTGTCCTCTTAGGAACCAGGCCACACAGCAGGAAGTGCATGGCTGGCAGATGAGCGGCAGGCCAACTAGCTGAAGCTTCATCTGTATTTGCAGCCACTCCCCAGTGCTGGCATCACTGCCTCAGCTTCACCCCAGATCATCAGGCATTAGATTCTCATAGGAGCACCGGTTCCTAGTGCCAAAAAAAAAAGTTGGGGACTGCTGGTTTAGTTAGATGATATTCTGGCTGCAGAACGTAAAATGTGTAGAAGAGAGAAGAGACTTTGAACTATAAGCCAAGCAAGAGATAATTGAGGCTTGATGTAGAATGCTGTCTCTAAAAATAAATTAGCCAGCATTTGCTTCTCTTAGAAGAATGATTGACTTTTTTGTTTTAATGCATTTTACCTTGCTTTTTTTAACAAATAAGCTTGTCCAACTTCAAGGATTCATTATATCAAATTCATTCATTTGTTCAGTAAATATTTATTAAGCAGTCTCTGTATATGCAGCACTAGGAAGACAGTGATAAAACAAATATCTATCTGTCTTCATACAACTATATATAGAAACATTTCAAATGCATAAGGTTCTTTATCAAGAAAAGATATTAGTGTGTTGTTATTACCACCACCATTACGTTATATTAGCCAAAAGCATAGAATGACATTATTATTGCCAACTCTCTATATTTATCTCCTGAAAGGTTTTAATTGATCATTAGACTTTAAACTTTATAACATTGGTAAAGAGTTTAAAGACTTGGTACTTTGATTTTAATGATGAATATGCATTTTTTTCAAGGAGTTTTAACAGATGTCAATTTTAGATATATTGGTGATTTATGGATATTGCATTGAATCTAACAGCTCTCTACAGTTCTTTCTCTCCCTAAACCAATTTTGATGACAAGACCTCATTCCCAGAAGCAGTATTCTCAAACTATGTAAGAATTCTTCTACCCCTAGATGTTTCGATTTAGCAAATCTGGGATAGATCTCCAAAATTTGTATGTTTAACACAGATTCTAATGGAGATGAAATGCAGCAAAAATATATTCTTTTCTTTATTTCACAACCACTAATCTTGTAGAAGCCAAATTTCTATGATTCTGTTAAGTAGATGTCCCTGTTTTTTTTTCTATATACCTTAGGACCTTATTTCTATAGCATTGTAAACTTCAAATTTCTGCTACTGAATGCTAGAAGGGAAAGCAGTCCTTCCTTCATGATTGATAGGAAAAACATCTGGAGGAGGATCTGTTTGATATCTGCTAATTTCTGATCTGTAGGAGGTTTAAAGGTGGGTTTGTATAATTAATCGTGGTTCCTTGCAGTGATGAAGAAGAGAGTTGGACATCCCCACTTTTCTGCAAGCTCCTATCCATGCTTTCAGAAAACTGGGACTTTTTTCTCTTCAACCACAGCTCTGGATTAAAGTCTCCACCTCCATTGAAAAGGTTATTTTAAATGACAACCAGTCTAAGTACTTGACTTATTGAGAGTATTCTTTGCTGCTCTTTTGTTCTTTTTTGATTGTTATACTTTTCCTAACTGTTGTATTTCTAAGTTTTCACTCATGTTCACAAAGTTTAAATCTTCTTTGGCTCCATCTCTTTATTGATTGTAAATAGAGATCAGAAAATGAATTTAATATTTATTTTCCACTGCCTGGCTGTTTTGAGTTCCCTGAAAACCAAGTAGAAGCCAGTAAGATCTGTAAGGGAGTAGTGTTACCCATTAAGCCCATTTCAGAGCACCCACGGATGTTGAGAATTGTCTTTCAAACATGAGTGTTTATGATTAATAAAATCTCTTTTTTTAAAAAAAGAGTTAATTGTCATGATAAGACTGTTATTTATATAAATTTGCCTTTATTACAAAATCACAAATCTTTGGGATTTATTTCTCAAAGTATATTGTATTTTTAAATGTAAATTTAGTCCAGATATTTATTTTAAAACTTTATATGGAAAATGTCAAATGTATATACATAACTGTTAGTTTTGGCCCTTGCCCAGTCTTATTTCAGCAAAACCTTTTCTCTCTCTCTCCATATTATTTTATCCATGAATATTTCATTATATATCTCTAAAAGATAAGATCTCTTAAAAAAGAAAATGCCATTATCATATATACCCCCCAAAAGACAATCATTGCTTATTCCTCATCAGATATCCTATAAAGTGTTAGAATTTCCAGTTATCTCATATAAGTCATAATTTTTTTCCCCCCAGTGTGTTAGTTTACATCAAAATGCAGATCAGGTTGGTATGTCATTTAAGCTTTTTAACCTAGCAAGTCTTTCTTCATCTCTTCTTTTTAACTTGTAATTTACTTGGGGGAATAGGTAATCTTTTTTTTTTTTTTAAACAGTAGAATTTTGCTGATTTGCATCTCCATAGTTCTTTTGTCCTCCATAAATAGGTAGTTGATTGAATTCCCATTTGATTTTTTTTTTTTTAAAGCTAGACTGTGTGGCATTACTTTTTCTCCATCAGGAGGCACATAATGTTGGACCGTTTCTCTTCTTGATATATTAGCCCATTTACCTCAAGACCTTTTCCAGCAATTCATCAGGGGCTGCAAAATGGTGATACCGTAATTCTATTGTTTCTTTTTCATTTAGTAGTTGAAATATTTCTGCTAGTTTTACTTACCTGGTTGTATACATGAGAGATAGCTCGATACTTAATTTACCAGTTTTCAGAATAATGAATTGATTCATTAGTATCTTCCAGTTGTGTCCAATTAAGGTTTTTTTTTGTCTCATTATGTGTTCATGAATTTAAACATATATGATGTGTTTTTATGTCTTGCCATTTTAAACCTTTGATGGGAAGCTTCTTCAGGTTGGCTCCTGAGTCTTTTTGTGATGTAACTGCATTAGTATGATAATTTCCTTAATATTTGGTGTGATAATTATTTTAAGCTTATCTTCTGTCCACATCGCCTGCTCCAGACCTGTCATCTGCTATTTTACTAGGGAGCTCTGGTTCCTTTTAGTGGAAAAGTGTATTTCATTACCACATTATAGGTCCTAGGGGTGCTCATTG